GAGAAGATAATAAAAGTAAGCTAAGATTTTTATATATAGCAGAAAGATCTGTGCTCATTGGAAAAGCAAGACACCAAACATTGCAAGGAGCATAATATTCAATATACTGCTGAAAGAATGATGGAAATGAAAGCTCCAAGGTAGGAATACAGTGAAAATATGAGGGATGGCAAACTACGTTTATGTAGGAATATGCGAGGAAGAGAGTGATCTGGTGAGAAACAACTCAAGTGGAGGCGAAGATGGGCCAGGCATATTTTTCTGTGTTAGATTAAAATCTGTGTCCTTGAAGCATGGTGACTCGTCCATTAGCATCAGAATCAGTTTTGGTGCTTGTTAAAAACACAGATTTCTGGGATGCACCAGGACTTATTAATTTAGAATCTTCTGGCATGAGGCCTAAGAATCTACATTTAATCAATTTCTCAGAGTGTTTCTTATGCATTTAAAAGTCTGAAAATCACTTCCAGTGGAACATAGGTAATTGTACCTCCCATTGAGCTCAGCTAAGCAGTGATGTCTCGTGGTGGTGTTACACAGAGGTTCTGGTGTACACTTGAGGCCCCTTACGGGAGGGGCAAGAGGAGGATCTGGGTTTTGTGGGGCCTGAAGCTTAAACAATATGTGGGGCTGTTTTAAGAGAAAAACCAAAGAATTAGAAATATAAACTTAAGTTCAAAACATGAATATGTATTTAGAATGAGAAAGAAAATTATTAATTTTAGCAGGTGGCATATCAAAATCTAGAAAATATTAATATTTTAATAATAAACTGACATACTTATTCTAGTTTTTGGTTGCATATTCTTTCCTAGTCTCCTTATATTACAGCTATTTGGCACTTTCACTTTCTGTACAGACAATCGAAAGACAAGCGTCTCCTATGTAAATTCCAATGGAAGTTACTTTTTTATTATGGATGGTTGCGATGCAAAAAGATGTAACTTTGCATACAGAATACAGACACACAGCGCAAACACAAGAATTCTGATTAATTCAATTTTCTATGATTCCCATAAAAAAGAAAAACTGGAGCATTTTAATTATAGATGCTGAATTGAGTATATTCTTGACAGGAGAGAATTTCTATTTTGACCAGGATCAATGAGAATGGAATTCTGCATTTGAAATTTTATATAGCTGATTATTAGAAAAAAATGTCCCAGTAGCTTCTGGTTTCTCTGGTGCTGGCCATTATGGGAGATGTTTACAGTGAATTCGTCTTTTGGCCCTGAGAGAATTCCTACACCAGGACAGCTAGCAATAACGTACCTCTACAGGGATGTGTCTGCAAACCATTTAAATATATACCACTGCACCCAAACTATGTGAACCCCCAATTTTAGTTCCTGTTAGTTAGACCTCTGAAATACACGTAAATCTTCCAAAGCCCCCCAACAGAAAAGGAAGTTGTAAAAGAACAGGGTCTTAGCTAGTTGCAGATAACACATCTTTCTTAAGCCAATTTTATTAAGATGTATAGAGCTGTTAAAGCATCACTATAGCCCCTCCTAGGGCCAAGGAAGGGACCTGGACAAGGAAGGACCTGAAACTTCATCTTCATTCCTTGGACAGCAAACTTCTTTTTGGAAGAATCAAAAAGAAACGCAGTCTGGAGATTGTCTTTTCTCTTATGTTTTTATCATTTCAACATATTTTGATTTTTTTACTAAAAAAAAAAAATTAATGTACTCAGCATATCTAAATTTTCTCTTTCCAGGCAGGAGTCCTGACAACAGATGTGTCCATTACTTTATGTTCAGCTGACAAGGCTTCCTAACAAAATCCTTCATATAAAATTGCTCACTCTCTTCCCTACTCCTCATGTATCTATTGATTGATCTATCCATCACTCTATCTTTTTTTTTAATTACAGAGATGCAGATTGGAGTTATTTTGCTTCTCTTGGCTCATGAAAGTAGGCAGGGGCTGCGGTGGAGATACTATGGGAGCCCTCGTGACATAGAGACTAGGCCATTACACCAGGCGTCTGAGGATCTAAGTTCTGATCCCCTTTGAATTCTAATTCGCTATATGAGTTGAAAGGGGGCTGCTTCCTCTTCTGGGCTTTGAGCAACTCAGCTAGTCAATAAGTTTGTGTCGGGTGACATCAGTGGTTTCTAGGAGTTCAAGGGCTCTACAGAAGTGGCCAAGCCTTCATTCTTGCTTTAAGCAGAGGAGCCCTGCTTTCTTCCTATTTTATATGAAGAGTTTGCTTCAAGATTTTTGTTTTGAAATGGTTGTACTATGAAAAAAAAAGGGAGACCATCTTTTAGATAAGTTATCCCAAATGCTCGAAATGACCTGGAAAGCTTTTTAACAGTTCTAATTCCATTGTAGAGCTCAGAATTTAAATATGTATTTGTTAAAAGTTTCTTCTGGATTCTGCTGCATCAAGAGACATTATTCTAGACTAGTGGTATACAACCTTGTCTACACGTTAGGATTATCTGAGGAGCTTTTAAAAGTGCTGGTGCCTGGGTCCTACTCTTGTGACTTACTTAATTGACCTGAGTGTAGATGTTTTGAAAAGCTCCATAGGTACATCTGATGTGTGTCAGGATTGAGAACCCCGGATGGAGATAATCCCTAATATCTGGCAAACTGTAACAATCTGTGTATGAAAAAAACAATTTTAAGTGTGATATTCATCTCCCCAGCCTCTTATAGATATTGAACATGTCATTTCTGTTTTGTAGTTAAGTTATATAATTCCTCCATTGGTTGGGGCAAATGTCAGAGAAAAGGCAACCGGTGAGGTGACAGTATCTCTCATTTGTCCACTTATTTGTGAAGAACTTCTCATTGTTCATCATACCTACAAGAGTCAACTACTATTAGTCTTGTCCTTACCCTAGCCATGCACAGGTGGGTCACTTTCTCTATTCTTAAATCAGGTCATTTATAAAATTAGTTGATTAGAATCAAGGGACATTCCAGATATAATTCTAAGATTCTATGATCATTTTCTTAATTTACAGAATATAATTTAACAAAGTAAAGACCTAATTTCCTTAAGACTTATAAGACACTTTTCTCTCTTTTAATTGATCTTTGTAAAAAGGCCAGTGAACCATGACTGTTTTGTCTTCCCATGTTGTTAGAACATAGCCCTGATCTACAGAATTGTAAGGAGCCGAATAGTAAAATAGAGATTTTCTTATAGCATAAACCTCGCTGATTGGTTGGGAACCCAGTGCTTTGGGAGCTTGGAATGGAAATTTGCAAAGATATAAACTAGAACTTCCCCATGGTATTTGGGTTCAACTTTTGTATGCCCCCAGACAGCAGCAGATTTCATAGTGGGTAGAAAATCATCCATTTGTTCATCATTTATGCATTTGTTTTTTCACTTATTTATTCCACACACATATATTTAAACAGATAGTTATCGTAGCGCCCGATTTCAGTGCTAGGATAGTGTTTAGAATGAGACAGATGTCATGCAGGCCTTTATTGAGCATTTCAGTTGACCACAAGTAAGAATTCACTTGGTTTTTCAAGTGAATTCTTACTTGAAATCTAAAGGCCATGAGTTCTCTGGAGGGATTTTTAGATTTTATGCATACATTTCAATGATTATCTGAAAACCATAAAAGAATCGTATTCTGAACCATCTGGAAGATGACCTAATAACCAAGGATGTGATTTTAGGGCCCACATTTTGTTTGTCACCATGGTCACATTGGCACCACATGTCACTAATTTAATTGCTATCAAGTAACATGAAATTAAACAGAGGCAGGCATTATTCTTATAAAATGAAGTATGCCTGTATGAGGGCTAAATGAAGTAAAATCTTCAAATAAAGGTTGTGCAATAATTTGGAGAAAATCAGTAGGGGCCCTGTTTTCACGTGCTTCGTGGCAGAGTAGGGATGCTGTGCCCAGGAGATGCTGTGCTCAAGTCCTTGGTACTACTTATCCGTTTAGTTTTAGCAAGTCATCACCCTTTGTAGTTGTCAGTTATTTCCCATTTTGAATGATACATGTTGGTAGCTTTGTATTGCATTTTAAAATTTGGTTTGGTTTTAGAATTTTGGGTAAGCGATATGCTTACTTAGATTTGTACCTAATTAGTAGTGCTGGTATAAAGATAATTTGTGTCAACAATGGGGGTTTGGGGCAGCTTCCTTACTTTAAAGGGGATTGGCCTATTAATATCGACAGATATTTTCCTAACTTAGCTTTTCTAACACTCTACTATACTCACTGTTTAACTAGCTCATTCCTCCCATTAGCCTGCAAGCCCTCGGAAGGCGTGTTCACACCTTACTTGACTTTGAGTCTCCTTTATGTTTTTTAAATAAATTAGTTGATTGATAACATTTGATTAGAATTGTCTGACTCATAAGGACTAACTTTGAGGGTAGTAAGTTCTCCATCAAGGGAAGCATTTAAGCCCAAGCTATCACTTGTTGAAGATTCCTGAGTCAAGTGAGGCTTCATCTTTGTGCTCATCAGCACCCCTTTGAACTCTGGAAGAGAGAGAAGATCAAAATTGTTACCTTCACCATTGACTTTCTGGCAATACGGAATGATTGCGCTTGAGGTTGTTACCGGTGAATAAATTGCCTGAATAGTATTATTATACCATCACAGTGAACTGCTGGGGTAAATTTATTTTCTCAGACGAATTCTAAATTTTAGCCTCAGGAATTTGAAAAATCTTTGTCTCCCTCATGACGATGTTGGATTCTAAGAGACATTTGGAAAATGTCCTCCTAGGAGTCTTGTCCTTCCCACGATATGCGTGTATGCGAATGTCTCAGTGTACATCGTGAGAGATGGCTGCATAAAATGAGAAGCCTAACGCAAGCATCCAGAGGAGCCACTTTTGTCCAGAGGAAACAGATTTTGAGTTGTTAGGAGGGTGGAATGTGTAGATAGCAGCCAACCATATCTCTTCATCAGTTGATTTTTTTCCCCTTTCTTTTCCTTTATCCTTTTTCCTCTTGGCAGTTTAATGCGAGTGCTTCTCTCTCACCTCATTTATTTCAGATGCCTCAGGAACAGTACACACACCACCGGAGCACCATGCCCAGCTCCGAGGGGCCACAGGTATACAAAGTGGGGATTTATGGCTGGCGGAAAAGATGCCTGTATTTCTTTGTCCTGCTCCTGATGATTTTAATACTGGTGAACTTGGCCATGACCATCTGGATTCTCAAAGTCATGAACTTCACAATTGTAAGTAAAACCACACAAGTTTCTTTAGCTCTCCTCGGGGGAAGAGGAAGTGTGGGGCAAAGAGGAAGGTGAAAAAATGGTTTCGAATAGTATTCAAAATGTGCGGCAACCCGGTGTTTTGGTTAAAATAATAATAATTCTTTTTAGATTACCTGTGAGGATGGACTCAGTTCTTTGTAATCGCAGTTCCTCGGAGGTTGGTAATCGAATTTAGAGGCATTCCCCGCTTTACAATCTTGCATATGCTTTCCCTCTGTTTTGATAACCGTGTTCTATATCCTGCAGTTTACAAGCACTTTGAGTAAATACTGCAGAAGGAGATATGGGATAAGTTCAAAGTAGTAAGTTTTCCCGAAGTTTAGTAATGATTGTGAAAGGTTTTATGAGGTAAAATTTGAAACATCTGAATAAAATTAGACTTTGGAGATTATCTAGGAATTTTAACTACTTATACCTGGTATTTATTTCATTACTATAGTTAATTGAGTCTCCTTGATTTGCGGGGAGAAAATTCTCTTTGCCACTGCTTGGGTAAGATGGAAATGAGAGAAGGCTATATTTCATTTTTAAAGAATTTGTGTTTATACTTTTTTGAAGAAATTCTTGCTATTGATAATTGGGGCCACTCTGCTGATTGAATATTTACTTGTCAAAGTTCAAATGAAAAGAAAATCCTGGCAAAAATTATTTCTGGAGTTATTCCGAGATTTTTTATGTCTTCCAAAAGATTTCCTAGCAATTCTAGCAATATAAGTAATTTAACTTTTTAATGAGGGCATAAAGGGCAGTAATCTGCTGCCCTTGGAATCCTTTCCTTTCTTGTGATGTCGAAAGTAATTCATTTTTGTCCCTAACACAGTATGCGTAGTCACACTTCCTTGCCTTGCCTGGGCAGTATGATCTTCTTGGACTGCTTTTCTTCATCTTCCCAGCTTTGCAGAACCTTTCCTGATGCTCCTGTAGCTCCTTTCATGTATCTATTATTACAGTTAATCACTCCAGATAATAATTTTCCTGCACGTTTCTTAGGCAGACTGAACTTTGGGAAGAGCAAGGGCTCGCTGCATCTTTTCTCTGTGTGCCTTCATTCATCACTCCTGGAAAGGGCTATTGGTCCTTCACTGGGACTTAATTAGGACTCTGTAAACCTGGGTTAGAGATACTACTTCAGGCATCGGAATGGCTCCCTTTTAATACTTGTAGTTAAAGCTAGGAAACTAGTCGAAAAATTACCTTAGTTTTATAGATTTCTTTCTTGAGGAGGAAAATAGTGCAGTTCTTTGAAAAAACTCTTCAGTATTGCAACATTAAGTTTGAAAGAGGGTACAAGTCAGTTTGCAGGGGATTGTAGGGTCCAAGGCAACATGCTCTAGACTATTGGAGCACATTAACTCCTGTTTCTGAGTTAGACTCAGTAGGTGCTTTTTGAACTTTAACTTTCTTTACAGACAGAATTCAGAGCAGTGTTTTGAGCAGGTGAGAGAAATGTGATAAGATTTGTAGTCCAGATGCCTGCACAGGTGAGGATGCGATATAATGGGAAAAGTTTCCCAAGGTTCGGAGCTCTAAAGGGCGTCCTGGGTCTATTTGGTCTTAAAGTCACCACATTTACTATTTGTTGAGATGCATGTTATGTAATGTTATTATTTTGTATTTCACAAACTTATAAAATGGAAAAGTTTCTGCATTGCCATATTAAGTCGGGAAAGACTGAAGCTAGGGTAGTAGAATGGAGAATAAATGTTCAAAAGACATTTAAAAGGTGGAAATGACACATCAATTCAACTACTGGTTGGATATAGGAACATGTAGGAGTTGAGGGACTGCAAGACATTCTGGAATACTCCCAGGTTCTGGCTGGTGAGGTGTTTGGATTGCAGGGCCCAAAAAGCAAGATGGAATTCATGACCTTCCCACTGGAACTCAGCCAAAACTCATGTATTTCCTGAATACTCTACTTGGGGCTATTTTTGTTATTTTCATCTATTTTGACCTGAAGTCAATTTATAGAACTTACAAGATTTAGGGGTGAGCATGGCGAATATGAACTCAAACCTTGATAATGGTGATATTATATATAGATGGCCTTTAGAGTATGTTTTGTCTGGCAAGCCTAATCATGAGAGGTATATGTAAGTATGTACTGAGTGATGATTCATTCTGCGTGTGTGTGAGCTTAGGGAGCAATATGACATTAAGGTAATAATCTCTACGAAATAGGCCATTTCCCATAGTTAACTAAATTGATTGCCACGGTTGAGAGTTTTTAAAGCTTTACCAAACCAAGTACTTACGAGGTGAGAATAATGCTATTATTAGCCATAACTGGTGCTTTATAACAGTAATGCATTTGAGCAAATAGGGCTGAAGTGCCAGAAAATTAGTCTTTCCCTGAAAGTTCAAAGCATATTTTTCTACCAACCACAGTATAAAACATATTTTTAGAAGTATAACTCTATTCCTCAAATAATAATTTACTGACGGTGAAGATCTTGAAAATGAATGAAGTATTAACCAATGCTTTGTTGGAGAACGTGGAGGTGAAAGAGCAAAGGGAATCAATGAGACATCAAACATTTTGTGCAGGGATTTAAAAATACTGCCAATAGGGAAGGGCGATTATTTTGTATGCCTGGAATAGTAGGTACTTTGGGATTTGGGAAAGCTCACACTGTAATCGAACCCTCTGAGTAATAACGAACCAAGAGAATGATGTCATCTGAAAGTGTTTCTGAGGACTTGGCAATTTATCCAAGATTGGATATCAAGAATTCACTGCGTTGTCAGGCTTGCATTCTGTGCCATCCCCAAGGATATATGCTGGAAGAGTCCTTCCATTATAACGCTCTTGACAGGCAGCCAACCAAGTTTTCTTTGTCCCAGATATAAATCAGAAGAAAAATGATTTTGTTCTCCTTTGCTCTTAGCACAATATCCTGATGTTCATTACTGGGCAGGACAGCGAGGTTATACTTTTCTCCTCAATTTTTTCCTACATGGAGGAGTGTGTGGTTTACCTATGCTGTGAACACCCATGAGTTGACCTAGTTTATCATACTCTGTGCTGTACAAGGGTACAAATAGTTATTATCTATTCTGTGTATCACTGTGCTTGGCATTTAAAATATCTCATTTAATTTTCAAAACTCTACAAATTAAGAATCATTATGTACATTTTAGTAAAAAAGTAAACACCCAACTCTCAGAGAAGTTGAGGGATTTTCTGAAAAACACACAGCTAGAAAGTAACAGAACTGGGTCTTGCCTTCAAAGCTCAACTCTTTCCACTACACAGTACCTCCTCCCCCTAATTGCTATGAAGATCTGTCTCGTCGGCAAAACTCTGAAGCTGGCAAAATGGTTTATCATCTTTGTTGCCCACCCTGTGTCATCTAGTCACCAATTTCTCTCCCATTGGAAGTCTCCGATGACATCTTCTGCCTGGAGTAGTTTCCTGCTAGTCCTGACGGTTTAGTCCTTATCTCATTTCTCTTTGCACTGCAGCTGATGACGCTCTCCCTCTACTGTTTCTACCTTCTGTTTATCCCCTTGTTGTATTAATGTAAATATAAACTTAATATCTGTGTCATAGGTTGGTGTGAAGACTCAGTGAGTTAATTCATGTTAAGCTTTTGTAGGAGCCTCTGACCCACAAGGAGTCTTGATGTTGGCAACAGAATGTCATGAGCAACCCTACATCCCCTTGTAGTGGTTAAAAGCTCAGACTCCAGAGACAGATGCTCTAGGTACAAATTTACGTGCTGCTGCTTAGGCAAGTTTCTCAAGCTTTCTGTGTTGCAGTTTCCTGAGAATAATAGAGTACCTACCTAGTCACAGGATGGTTATGAAGAGTAAATGAGGTGATGAAAGTAGTGTTTAAAACGGAGCTTGACACACAGTAGGTGCTTCGTGTGTGTGTTTACTACAGTCATTGTCATCATGTGTTGAAGGCTCATTTTGTGCCAGGCACCATGCTCTTGCAATGAATAAATATTATCTAACTTTATCCTTAGGAGGGTAGGTAGTGTCATGATATCAACTTCATAAAGGAGGAGAGAGGCTCAATAACTTGATTTGTGATCACACAGTTCCAGAGTGGCAGAGTAGAGATTTGAATCCAATCAGTCTGACTGGAACCTGGTCTGTTAACCAGTTTGATATATTGCAGGGCAGTGCAGAAAGGCCTAGCAAGAGTGTTAGGGAACTGGATGCCTGGCCGGCCATGAACTACAATACCTTGTTCCTTGGGACTCAGTAGAGAAAAGAATGCGTTGACTTAGGTGTCCTTTAAGACCATAAAGCACCTTCCCGTGCAAACGTTATGGTTATTGTCTTTTGGGCTTTACATTTGACCTCAAAGACCTCCCGAAATACTACGGTATTAATTATCTAGAACAAGTGGTTATTAAGTGGCAAAACTTAAAAGGCGTGGTAATTATTAATAAGTGGCTTGATTTCTTAATCTAGTGAGTGTAAAAGAATTCATGGTTAGATGAAATAGGAACCTTAAGAATCACCTCATCAGACATCCTCATATTGCAGATGATTGAACCAAAGTAGATAGCGAGGTTGCCTCACCCAGCTTCAGCACCCCAATTATGACAGAAACTTCTCTGGAGTAGAGATTGTGTTCTGTTCATCTTTGTCGCCCCAGCCTCATGCCCGGTACACAGTCAGCTTGTGTTTGTTAATTGTCAACTGCCTTCCTGCAGACCACATTCATGAGATGATGGATGTCAAGTACCTAGTCGGTGCCAGGCATATGGTAGATCCTCAATAAATTATTTCTATGTGTACCTGTGTATAATAGATTTCCTAACTTCTATTTCTCTTCATCAAAATTAACAAAATTCAAACCATTGTATTTGTGATTACATAAGAAATGAATGTCCACTTGTTTAATAAAAACTTCTACAGAACTTATATTCTTCCTATGTAATCCTCATAAAAGCCCTGTGAGGTGGGCACCACTGTAACATTTTACAGATGGGGAAGCAGAG